TCTTTTTATCTTTTTTGGGGATAGGGGCAGTACTGGGGGTTGAACTCAGGGCCTTGAGAGCTTGTTTGGAGGTTCTAGCAAGGGAGCGCAGCTTCTCATACCCTTGACAGAAGAACAGTCCTTCTCTATCGGGGATGGTCGTCCTCTTCAACCGAGCGTGCAGCTTTGGGGGGAACGCACATGGAGTGAGGGAGGAAGGGGACACCTGCTTAGCCAGCCAGATCAGCTGAATCAACCCTGGTGATCAATGGGGTGACAGATGTCACAGCCAGATGGCCCTCACATCCAAACTCAGGGCCTTGTGCTTATTAGGCAGGTGTTCTATCACTTAAGCCATATCTCCAGCCCATGTGTTTTCTTATATTGTTTCAGGGCTGATCTTTGGGGAAAAACCTTCTACATTGATTATATTTGTAAGGTATGGATTCTCCAGTGTTCAACAAGGATTGTGCTGTGCCTGAAGGCTTTCCCACATTTTTAGAGTGATAGTGTTTTTCTCCAGCATGAATTTCCTGCTCTTCAGTAAGGACTGAGCTCTTCCTTATGGTCTCCTACAGCCATCACAATTGATGGGGTTATTTCTATGCTGAACTTTTTGACATCCAACAAAGAATGAGCTACCCCTGAAAGAGTTTCCACATTTATAGTGGTGATAGGGTTTCTCTTCTGCATGTATTCTTTGATGACTAATAAAAGTTGAGCTCTTTCTGAAGGCTTTTCTACATTTATTATGCTGATCTGGTTTCTAACCAGGATGGATTTTCAGATGGCCCAATACAGTTGAGTTATCCCTGGAAACTTTCCCACATTTCATATATTTAAAAGGCTTCTCTCCACCATGTATCCTCTCAATGAGTCAGGACTGTCTTCTGAACAATGGCTCTCCCAATCATGACATTCTTAGGGTTTTTGACTTATGAATTCTCTGATGATTTTAAAAGGACAGAGTTCTTTCTGAAAGCCTTTTCACATTCATTGCATTTATGAGGTTTCTCTGTAGAGTGAATTCTCTGATGATTGATGAGTTGAGTACTGTGAAGAATTTCTTACATCCAATACCTGTATACAGTAGCTTCCCTATGTGGATTTATGATGACTTAAAAGAGATGGTTAGCAGGATAAGTTGTACCTAAAGATTGTCCCACAGTCTTTACATTTATGGTTTTCTCACCAATATGATTTTTCTGTATCTCGATATATATATAAAGGAGTTATATTTAAAGACTTTCCCACATGGCTTGCATTTATAGTGCTGCTTCCCTTGTGGAACTTCTGCCCTTCCAGTCCAGGCCTCTTCCATCATAACATTTGTTTGCTATCTTCCTTCAGAAGTATTTTGCTTTAAGGCTGACATCTTTACTTCAAACCATTGTTCTTGGACTGCATGTGCACCTAATGGATCTTCTCACAACTCCATGCAGGAATCTTCCCTTACTGCAGTTGAATGATTGATTAGTTTTGGTTCAAAAGAAGGATGCTCATGGCCACCAGATTTCCTCAGCTTTCCAGCATCATATCCCTGTACAGAGCCTGCTGAGTAGCATCCGGTGTCTCCCTTCAGTGTGGGCATAGGTCACAGCCACATCCCCAAGTGTCAGTGAGCTTTAGAGCTAGGCTCTTGGTAGTTTTGGAGCCATCTATCTCCTGAATTGTTCTTCCAGGCACAGGTAGAGCATCTTGTGAAAGTCAATAGTTCTGGAGGCTAGAAATCCAAAATCAAGGTGTCATTATGATTGGTTCCTTCTGAGATTCTGAGTATAAGCCTCTTCCTGGCTTCTGGTAGTCACTATCAGTCTTTGGTATTCTGCAGCTTGTAGTATCACTCCAGCCTTTGCCTCTGTCATCACATGACATTTTCTCTGTGTGTCTCTAAATCATCAATTGTAGACTTTTTGTTGTCTGAAGTAAACATTTTAAAGCCATGAATGTTTCTCTAAGCATTGCTTTAACTGCATCTCACAAATTCTGGTATAATGTATTTTCATTTTCATTTGGTTCAAAATATTTTCTAATTTCCCTTATGCAGTTTCAATCTGTACTTATGTAAATTAGTTCTCAGCCAAAGACTGAAGGGTACCAGTATCCAGATTTTTGGAATTATTTTTCTGTGTAGCTTCCTCCTTTCTGGTACTTTGGTAAAAAAAAAAAAAAAATTCTGGTTGTTTCAGCCATCCTGAATGCTCATCTCCTCAAGGACCACCATGTTTGCATGGATTCTTTTTGACTGGGCTACAGTCTGGAGCTTGCCTCCAGTGAAAAGTCAAAGTGATTTTAGGGCTCACCTGGTTTGTTTCCTTTCTTCCAGGGATCACAAACATGTACTGCTTGTTGTCCAGTGTTCAAAAATAGTTGCTTCAAATATTTTGTCTCGTTTTTTAGTCACTCATAGTGGGAGAGCAAAAGAAAAGCATCCTTCAAGCCCAGAGGTGGAAGTCACAGTGCATTAAAAAAGTAAATAAAATAGTAGCTTATAGAAAAGTACAAGTTATTTTCATCAAGTTTACCTCTTCACTATGTTAAATATGAGAGGATTGTTCTGAGAAGAATGAGAGAAAGTTGATATAAAGGTAATTGACAGTAGTTACTGATTTAACTTTATTGTTTCCAACAAAAGTCTTATACTCAGTTATTACTAAGATTCATGCCATTGGCGACTGTGAGGGAAGATGGATAAGGAAATGAAGGGTATTTCTGTAGCTTTTGGTAGCTTCATTTTTTTTTTCTTGGTTGTTGTTTATCCATCTTTTCTTAAGGAAGTTCTGTTTTCTCTGATCTTCTAAATCACCTTGTCTGATGTTAGGTTGGTGCCAAAGTACTTCTCATTTCTTTTAGAGAATAATGGCAGGCTGGCTTCCATACATAGTGCTTCTGATTCAATAGTCTAGAAGCCTGCTGTTATCTTCCTTTTATTTCCCAGTTGATTAGTGTCCACATTTAGTCTGTTTGATATTTAGAAAGTATTTTGTGGAAGTCAGGTTGGTTTTGGCTATCAGGTGTTGCTTTAGTTAGAGCCTTTTTTAAGTTAGATGTGCATGCAGACATAATTATCTTCAATGCTGTTGTTCTATTGTATGTTTTCTGCCTATAATTCAAATATGTTTTCTTTTTTTTTTGTGGTATTGGGGTTTGAACTCAGGGCCTTCACCTTGAGCCACATCACTAGCCCTTTTTTGAGTTGGGTTTTTTTGAGATAGGGTTTCGTGAACTATTTGCCCAGGCTGGCTTTGAACTGTGATCTTCCTGACTTCTGCCTCCTGAATAGCTAGGATTGCAGGCATGAGCCACTGGAGCCAAACTCAAATATGTTTTCTATGCTAAAACTCCAGGGCCAAGACTAGGGTGAGGAAAGAGAGGCATCCAAACATTTTTAAAGAGACACTCCTGTCAAGATTTTGGAAACTCAGCTTGAACTCATGTGAATCTGAGCATGAACACCTTCTTGAATTTTGTGCCTGGGATGCCTCTCTTACCTCTCTCTGGTCCAATTCTTTTGACTACAGTGGTTACAGACACCTATACAACTTTAAAAATGAATTTATAACAACTTTCATTTAGAACATATTTTGACATTACTTCACCTGAGAAAACAGGTGAAAATGTACAGGAAAACCAATTCCATGCTTGAAATAGTTCAACAACTCAGAATTTATCCATGAAAAAAATTATCTAGAATTGTGAACCATCTAGTTTAACCAGAGTAGGTCACTATTGTACTTCTTTTCCTTTATTTCTTACCATGACATGGCTGCCATTCAGAAGTTCCTTCTTGGAGAATCCCTCTCATGATCAAAAGTTTTGGTAATCCTTATTTCTGCTCCACCTGATACCACGATCTGCAAAAGCACCCAACTTTGACAAATGATTGGTTAGAAAGTGGATGAATCTATAACCCACATGAAATCAAGAATATTCAGTTTGTGTTGCTTTCAGTTCAGTGGGAAAAAATGTAGCTATTCAGGTAGCTGTGTTTCTGATCCCGTAGTCTTCACATTGTCCCTGATGTGTACCTTGGAGGTAAGTGGAAGGTCAAGTTTTGGAGCTGTGTTCCCATCAGCCTCATGTACTCCCACTAGAATAGTTTTTTTTCCTTTTCTGTTTCATTAACTGGAATTCTGTGTAAAGGCTTTATGTGGCAGGAACTCACTGAGAAGGGGAACCACTGATGAATGTGGAACAGTTCTCCCACAAGCTAAAATATACTGGACCAAAAAGCATTGTCCCACTCACCAGGCAGTTTTCTCACCCTCTTAAAATCCTGTCTTTAAAATAGCCTCAATGTTGATGTTCAGGGCTCTTTATGGAACAGTATTGTCCTTTTTGCTTCATTTTTTTGACAAGTTTAAAACATGTATTTAAAGTACAATTTATAAAATGCTTAATCTGCTGATTTAGGAGCCTGCAGTGCAAGGTGGGGTGGGGCAGAGGGAGACTGCAGGGGTGTGGCCTCCCCTTCCATTCCTTCTGTTCAGACATCCAAGGGACCCATGTGCACTCCTGGAGTCACACAACCAGAATGGACCCCAGAGGTTTCTTGAGTCTCTACTTACCAGGGAGGTGGGATGCAGCTCTGCCAATCCATCCCTGAGCAGAGCACCCCAAGATGGGGCAGAACAGGATGTGATAGGGTAGAGTAGGTGGGTGGGCCGGGCAGGTGGGCTCTGGAAGGGACTGATGGCAACAGATAGGATGGTGCCTCCTGGGAGCACCCTGAGTGAGGGGGCTGAGAAGAGCCGGTCACCAGACATTGACCCCCAACTCCTTTGGTTATAGGTTGACATCAGAGTAGTGTTCATGGGAAGTGGTTAGCTGGAAAGGCTGAGGCCTGGTTCATGGGGCCCCGAGGAGCTGAGGGAAGGGACAGTATCTTGAAGGCAGATCAAGACATAGTAGCCTCAGATTCCTGACTCTCACCTCCTGGGGATTTCTAAGCCAAAGCCTACAACTTACTTTTTAAAAAATGTTTTACTTCATATTAAAATGTTTTCATTCTTTGTTTTTAGATGCCAGTACGAGCAGGTGCCACCAGGGGAAGACACAATTTGGATTTGGCCTGAAAATTGGGGCAGAAGATCACCTCCAGCTTCTTAAAGGAACCCCCACTTTCCAGTCATGCTGGGCTGCCTGCTGCCAGGACTCTACCTGCCATGCCCTTTGGTGGTTAGATGGGCTGTGCCGTCAAGCAGACTGCAGCATGCCCCAGAGCTGCCAGCTTTTTAGGACAGGCACTCTCAATTCCATGGTGGTATTTTTTAAAAAAGTCCAAACTGCACTTGATTTGGGCTTTCTACCTGAAGATGATGTACCATATCTTCTGGGACTAGGTTGGAGCAGGGCACCTTGGAGGAGGCAGAGCACACCGAGAGCTTCACTCAGATCTGCTGTATCTCTCAGTGACCAGCAGAGCTTAATCAGGAAACGTCAGAAGAGAGGTAGTCTCAGTGAAGAAGTAGTTCCACTTGTAGTGACACAGAATTCTCCAGTGAATGACTCCAAGGATCTCAGTGCTCTAAGTACAGGTGGTACTCCAGAGGTAAGCATGTTATGAATAAGGGGCAGAGAAATTTAAATCTGTTCTTCTACTTCCACACATGAGCAATAAAGCTGATGCTTATAGGCAGTGCTCATGGGGTGAAATGTGTGTATAAAGCTGCTTGGTGTCTTAGATGTTTATGCTGCCCAGATGTATAACAATTTAACTTTAGAAGTGTTACTTCATGCAGGTAACACTGACCATTGTTTTGGTAAAAGAAAAAAGCTGTTCATTAGCTAGTCTAAGCTGGTTCTTGGCTACAGGTAAGTGCGGTTGTGTGGGTGTTAGTCTCCACCACCAGTTCTGCAGTGTTTTCTGCCAGATTGCAAAACAGTTGATTGATGTGGTTGCAGTCAAGTCTCCTCCTCCATCTCCTGCCTGTAAACACATTCCTTATGAGGTAGTTTCTATTCCAGTTTGAATTAACTATGCCTGGTACTGCAGACTAAGATCTGACCTACTGGGCTGGGAAACCAGATGTGGCCATTAGTCAAGAGTTTTCTAGGGTGAATTCTCACCAAGTTGTATATACCAAGGGACATACCACCAGTAGTGTTTATTCTGCTTATTATGATTCTTCATTGTTGATCTTCCTGGGCAAATGATTAAAAGGAATGACTCACTCTCTGCTCAGTCTCCTTTGATTACTGACTTATTTTTGTATTTGTTTTGTCCTAGTTGTCTCTGTTAAGTTGAAGCCAGAGTGGGGAGGCTATTACATGCCAGGCACTATGTGTGCTAATCATTGTACTATGTCATTTTGCTTAATTTTCATAGCAATATTTTCAAGTAGTTATTATTAGCTCTGTTTTACTAGTGAGGAAACTGAGGCCAAAGAGGTTAGGCAATTTGCCTGGGATCATGCAGCTAATGAATAGTATAACTAGAATTAGAATCCAGATTTACTATTAAGAAAAAAAACCTTTCAGTACAATATTAGAGAATACTAGTCTTAATTTAATATGCCCATAAACATTTATGGAAACTATCAATGTCAGGTACTTTTCTAAGCACTGGAAATACAAGGGTGAATAAGACATTGTCCATGCCCTTAGGGAGTTTACAATCTAGTGGAATTGAGACATGAGGCTAAGTATTTACAATAATGTATAGTTGTTGCATTAATAGATTTATGCATACCGTATAATAACACAAAGATCAGGCAGGCAGTGTGTGTGTTCAGGTACGACTTGACAGGGATATCAACATTTCTTGAAGAATATATAGGATGTCACTGGGGCTAAAGGGAGTAAAAAGCATTGTGTACAGAGCTGTAGTACATTTAGTATACTACACAGTTTAAGGTCCTGTCAGCAAGTATTTCTTGTGCATTTTACTATGTGCAAATATTATACTGAGCTAGGCACTAGAAACTTAAGACTTAAGTCTTAGTGTGACTTAAGTCACATAAGATATATGTGATTACTATCCAAGTAGAGCTTATACATTACATTTCTAATAATTAATTATGTGCTTGATTTGGGTTATGAGAGGATAAGGACATGAAAGATTCTGACAGGAACCCCCCACTAAGGTATAAGATTAGGCCACCCTAAAGAAAGAAAGTTTAAGCTGAGATTGGATGAAAGAGTGAGAAAAAGAAATAAAGAAGGCAAAGAGAATATTAGTGTCAAAGTTTGATAGGTACGCTAGATCAGGAAATTGAGAGAAACTAGTCTTGTTGGGCAAACAGAGCCTTCTTAAGATGTGGTTGTTCTCTTAAGATCAGTGGAAAGAGTTTTAAGCAGGAAGTGACACACAGCAGCTCTCCCTTATCCATACATTCCAAGACCTCCGGTGGATGCTTGAAGCTGGGAATAGTTCCCTATACATACTACATGGGAACCTGTATATGCTATGTTGCATTCTTAGCAACCTCAGCATAAGGTTTTTTTCTTTATTAAATTGAGAACTTTCACCTTTTCACTTAAAAGGAAGCATTTTATGACTTTTCTTTGGCATATCTGAAGTGCTAGCATCTCTTGTACTTTGGGGCCATTATTAAGTACAATAAGGATTACATAGAAAACCGAGATAGCCAATCTGATAAACGAAAATGGCTATTCGTAACTAATAGGTGGATAGTATATGGATACACTGGGCAAGGTGATGCTTCATGTCCCAGGCAGGATGAAGTGGGATGGTTTGAGATTTCATCATACTACTCATAATGGTGCATGTGACTTAAAACTTATGAATTGCTTTTTTCTGGAATTTTCCATGTAATATCTTTGGATCACAGTGACCACAGGTTACTTAAACCATGGGAAGGGAAACACAGGCAAGGGGAATAGCTGTAATCAGATATACTTCTGCTTGGTAAATAGATCGGAAAAAGACAAAATGTACATGATACAATAAAGTAGGAAACTCTTCAGGCTAGAGAACTACTGCACTATCCGAGGAAACTAAGGATTCAGGAAAGGGGATAAACTTTAACTTGAAACAGACTCACTTGGAGGCCTTGTTATAAATAGATTACTGGGCCCCACCTCCAGAGTTTCTGACTTAGTAGGTTTGGAGTGGGGTCTGAGAATTTGCTTTTCCAACAAGTTCCTGAACAGTGCCAGTGCTCCTGATCCAGGGACCACACTTTGAGAACTGTCTTCTAGGGCAGGGATTAGAATACAGAGCACAAAGCATAAGGTTAGTCTTAAGCAGGATGCCTCCTTCATTGTGAGAAGGAGGGTTTGGGTGGGATGAAGCTAAAGTGAGTTTATAGGTTTTTTTAGTAATCTCTTTACTGTTTTTTTTTCAAAGTGTGCTAAATCATTTATGGAAACTGGAAGCAGAATTAAGTGGCCAAGAGGCAGGAAAAATCAGAGGTTTGGAGAGAATGGAAGGGGTCCAAAATAGCTATTGTGAAAGATAGAAGATGGCAAACTAGGTAAGGAAATAGGAAAACTGCTGAGTAGTTTCAAAGATGGAGACCATGCACTTATAGTGACACTGATCTTTACAGTTGTGTGAGACTTCCCAGTAGCTCTCTGTATCCCTGTCAAGAAAAGGCTGATAGTTTGACTCATCTAAGATGGGAAATTTTTGGGGTGGTTGGTACAGAAGGATGTTGTGGCCTAGAAATTAAGGTTGTTTTCAAAAGAATGGATGAAAGAGAATATATGAACATATGAAGGGAGGCAAAGATAGGAGGGGCTGACAGAGGTAAAACAGAGAAGTTTGGTTAGCAAGCACATGGAGTCCTGGAGGGACAGGAAGTTGTGGTTAGACTATGGGATATTTGAATTTAAGATTTTGGGGTGAAGACGTTCTGGTAGTGACAAGATCTAAGGTACAGCTATGGAAGAGGGTTGCTAGGGTAGAGTGGAGATGTTTATCGGAGACAAGGAGCTCAAAGAACTCAGCAGGCTCAAAGAACTTGTTAAATGAGCTATCCATATGCATGCTGAGATAGTCTTTAATAATGATGGTGGTGATAATAATTGTTAATGTTTAATGAGTACTTTCTGTGTGTTAGGTGCCATCCTGAGTTCTTTACATGTGTTGATTTTATGAAGTACTGCTACTATCCCAACTTTAGACATGAACCAACTCAGTGAAAGAAATGTTAAGGTACATGGCCAAGGCCACACAACTAGTTTATATGGTAGGTAGAACCAAGACTTGAACATGGGTAATCTCATTCTATCCAGTGTCTGACTTCTTATTCCTCAGTCAGGAGTTGGGATGAGGGGGAATTTTGAAAGCCAGATGTCAAAGCCATCTATAAAGTGTAGGGGGAGTGATGAGTAAGTTGGGAGATGACAGCTATGATGAGAGTTGAAGTGTAGTGCAGCAAGTTGGCAGAGGAGATGTTTTTATAGAAAAGTGTGAGTACTGCTTTGCAAAGGGTATTAGGAAAGGGGAACAAAAAAATAGGTTCAGCACATTACAGGATAATTATGACCAATGAGATTACAAATGGATCAGTAAAATTGGAAATATAGTAGATTTAGTCCTGACAGTCTCTTGGAAGATAGTGAAAACTCAAACTCAGGCCTTATATAATTCATTTGTATGTTAGAAGGAAGTCCTTGAGGTTGTGTTGGGTAGAGGGTTCTTTTTCTTCTTGTTTACCAGTGGTGACAATGGCAATACATTTCTGTCAGTGAACAGGATTTCAAGAGCTTTGTGGTCTAACATGGAGAGTAGGTGAATGTGGGAGGAGGAATACTGGACTTGAAGTATGAGCTTGAGGAGCAGCAGTGGGCCTTTTCTGCAGGTAGTGTTGCACATACGCATTATATAGTTTGATATCTCGTGGAGCAAGGTGAAATCTTTAGATCCATACAAGTTATTGTAGACCCTATGTGCTGTGCTTAGGAACTTGAGTCTTACCCTGAAGACCATGGATAGCTCTGGGAGGTGGTAATACCACTTTGTGCATTGTTAACTGGGAGGAATTTTTTTTTTTTTTGGGCAGAAAACTTTGAGAGTTCAAATTTCTGCATAATGCATTTGGGAAAGGAACAGAAATGTATGCCCTGTAGATCTTTTCCTTCTAATTAGGGATGACTGGCTAGCAACACTAGTTTCTAGTTTATTCTGTTTTCACTGAGGTAGGTCAAGCAACTCTGCATCCAAAGTAGGGAGAAATTATATCATAAATTGCTCTTGTCTTACCTCTGCGGAGCTGTAGAGGTATTGGGTTGTCAGGATGCATTTTTCATTCTTTTGGATACGTACTTACACTGTATCCAAGAGCAGGTATTGTGGACTTTCTGCATTTCTAAAAGTAGAGAGGAATATCATTTGTTCCCTTTTCTCCACTTGCAGAGAGGAACTTGTCCTGCTTGGTTTAAATACAGCACCCTTCCTATGCTTTGAACCTCTGAATTTTTGGCAGAGGGGCCTGGAGGCTTTTAATTGGAATCTGGAATGTGCACAGTACAGGCATTTCGGCCCTGAGCAATTAATTGCTACCAGTTCTGCTTTGTGAAAGAGGAGGTGTGCTTTCTTTGAGCCCAAGAAGGAAGGGTCTACCTAGGTAGCCCTACATGGAT